TGTCCCTCTTTCCAGAAGTTCAGGTGCTGTGTATGCTACGGTACCCATGACAACATCATTATTAGAAGGCAAGATTGATACGGAAAACTGTTCGAAATCAAACCGAGCCATACCAAAGTCGCCTAGTTTCACCTTGTATTTTCCCTCTCCGTCGTCGCCGATGAATACATTTGCTGCTTCGAGATCACAGTCGACGATGTTATGGTTATGAAGGAATGCAAGCCCAGAGGTCACCCCATGCATGATATGCAAGCGAATGGACTAAGGCACTGATTGTAGTTCATGGAGGTCCAGTAATTCTCTTGCGTTATGGACCTTCGTGACCTCTCCCTCAATTTTGATTTCCTTTTCCAGTAGTTCGGTGACAAGAAGTGATCGAGTAAAATCCACCCCGAAATGATAAAGGATGTTGGGATGTCGCAGGTTTTTTAGACACTTAATTTCCTTAAACAATTTTACCTTATGCTTGGGGGTGATGTTAACCATATATTCTTTACATGCAACTTCTGTGATAGAACCCGTATCCCGGTGAAATTGACCTTTTGAAGACGCGTGACGTAGAACCAATTCCTATCAGATCCCGTCCTAATTCCACTTTCGTTGGATCTAAGGTAACGTCATCTCCCCCCGCAGTGATCCTTATCCTTCTATTCTTCTCCTTTGTTGGTGGTTGGGTCTCCTTAGCACACGAGTTTACTGAAAAGACTTTTGACGTAGTGTCTCTGCTGGTAGAACTCCCTGAAAAAGAAAATAGATCTCCACTATAACCTACACAGAAAACAGAAGACTATTTAACAAATATTCTACAAGGGCACGCTGCCGGGATATGAAGCCCGAGGGGGGGGGGGGATTGACCCATGTTTGGGTTTTGAAGTGCCGCCGAGGGATTGAAATCCTGACCCTCTTTAGTACAAAAATACTCTAAAAACCCTACCCTCTGTAGGACAACAGCCTCCATTTTAAAACCTTATTTAGGACAAGAGACAAAATACACACTCTCTGGCTTTACATGAATTTAAACTGTTTAATAAGCCTTTCAAATCAGAGAAATTATGCTTAATGCGTGTAAAACCCTGTCGTTGCGTCTCTACACTTGAATTAAAACAAATGCGCCGCTCGTCGTTCGCCGCTCTATCGCATGCTCTTTTAACCTAACTTCGCGCAGGCTTGGAAAAGAAAGAGACTGCTCGCAGTCTGGGTTAAAGTCTCTCGCCTCGTAACACCATACCTTGTTTAGGACAGGTTCAAGTCAAATTGTACTCCCAGTTTAGGACAGCGAGGCCAAGAAACCATACCCTGTCCAGTGGACTGTCCCCGTATAGCCCAAATAAGGGAGTTCCCCCCTACCCCCCTTCCCCCCCGGGATGTGAAGTGATAAATAACCTGATATCTGAGTTCCCCTCTCTCACTTCGTTGTTTGTTCAGATTCTCATTTTAGGACAGCGAGGCCAAAAAACCATACCCTGTCCAGTGGGCCGTCCCCGTATAGCCCAAATAAGGGAGTTCCCCCCTACCCCCTCCCCCCCCCGGGATATGAAGTGATAAATAACCTGATATCTGAGTTCCTTTCTCTCACTTCGTTGTTTGTTCAGATTCTCAATTATGCGTCAAAGAGCTTTTAATAAAACAATTATTCTAGTTGGGCTTGCTGGATATGAAATGATCTTAACCAACTCGGCGCTACATCCGAGTGACCGAGTGACACATTTGCATATCGGAGGCCCAGCTTCTACTGTTTTCGCGTATCCACGAGTTAAAAACTGTTAGAACAGCACAGCATTTTGAATTTTACATAATCCGTAATCAATAAGTGGTCATTACGGGAGAATAATGCCCCAGCACTTAACCAATCACAGTGAGCGCTATATCGGCTACAAACACTAGCCATATATTAAATCAGTTTATTAACAACAAATAGCAAGAACAGAAAAACTCCGTACCTTGCATTCGGTTTGTAACTGTACTGCGATTTGACCATAGTCCCACCGGAATCATGGGTGGTCTGAATGCATCAGGGATGTTGTCACACCTCAATTTTGGGGAACATTTGTAAGACATGGGTTCCTTGATTGCAATGTTATACACTGGAGGACAAGTGCACTTCATTCTTTGCATGTAAGTTATTTGCCCTGCCAAGTCTGAGTTCTTTTTCTCCCCACACTTCTGCATCTCAGTCCTCTTCAGTTTCTACGGAGGTTGCATACACCGAATTAAATTTTTGTTTTTGTAAAAAAAAAAAAAAAAAAAAGGGGATATAGTAAAATGCCGATGTTATGGAAAAAAATCATCCTCAAAAACGAATTAAGGGTGGTAAGAGTTCTAAAGAAAAAGTTAAATTTTACCAAAGAGTCACATTTATCTCAAAGAGCATGTAACGCGGGTGAAAAGCAAAACCTGCACTACACATGTAAAAGCATGTATTTTGCATGGAAATTTCCACCTTCCTTCCTGCGCTATTCATGTTAAGGTACGTAGAAATTTCCATGTACCCTGCAATGAAACACATGGCAAGGTACATGGAAATTTCCATGTATCTTGCCCTATGTCTCGTTGTTTATACCTCCATGGTGTTCCAGAATTGACAGAGCGGTTTACCTCAATTACCGATAAATTTACCAAACGTTTTCAAAGTTGGCAAAATTAGCAATATTTGCTTTGTTTCATGCCAGGAAAAAGCTGCCTTTTAAATCCATGTGACCAAAACTGAACATTTAGTCCTACTTTTTCCGTGTACCATGTTTGATGCCTTCGTTGCAGGAAACTTATTTTTTAAGCTGATTCTTGCAACTACATCTTGGCAAAAGTCTTAATTTTTCGTTACATTTTTACCATAGCTGGCTTCAAAGGTTCAGTCCTGGCAAAGATTTCAGTTATTCACCTCTAACCTCTAACAACGCATTATCATCATTGATCATACCAAAGTGTTTTGAAATTTCGTACCTTCACAGCATTCCTCTTTGTAACAACAGCTTCTTTTCTTTTTGACTCCGTGAAATACTAAGAAGAAAATGAAAACTTATTATGGATTAAAGAAAAAAATTATAACGGGGGACAGATATGAAAGAGTAAAGAGCTAACAAGGATATCTCTCTGTTAATTGATGGTGCTTATTTTTTTTTCTGCCGTTTTTTTTTTTTAACTGAAAGTGCTTGCATAATGTTGACTTCAGGATAATACTATACCTGGAGCATCAGGCATAATACCCTTATATTTCAGTAGAATCGGGTGCTGTACGTGCCGCCTTGAAATCTTAGACACTCACAGGATTTAGGATTCCGGCAGCTGAGATGCTTCAGATCATAAAAGGAAAACTTAACTGTCAGGCTCTATTACAAACCTCACGGTAAGTATACCGGCCCACGGGCAGATGAGGGACTCCCTGGTTAAACTCTTCTGCTTCCCATGACTCAAAAGTTTTAATCCTGTTCTTTTTTACCTATTCGGGCATCAAATAAGTAAGTAGTGTTACACGATGAATCGCAGATAGGTTCGCGTGTAAATCACCACTCCCAGGAAGAGTTTGTAAATATGATAGTAATATTTCGTAATTAAGTAATATCTACTCTTGCTGCTGCTGCCCGGTCGCTACTGCTACAATCTCTCTCAGGTCGTTCCTTGAAACTAAATTTTTTTGTGCAACAAAACATCTCTTTGTGTTTTGCTTAATGTGTTCTTATTTTTTGATGCTGTACAAACTCGTCTAGGGAGCAACCAACCCACACAAATCTAGAGCTTTCCTCCACCTTCAACATTTTCGCAGGAAAAATTTGGAGGAGACACCGCTAAAAAGCCGCCAAATCTGAAAAGCTATTTGAATCTAAACGATGCACGATTCTGATTGTGTCGGAAAGGCCTTCACGTTATCGTTATTGGTTATACTCCAACACGTGAAAGACCTGTACGCCATTCTAATTGGCTGTATATAGGCTTTTTTTCACATGTGAAAATAGAGCGTATAGATTTGTACAAATGAGCTTTATGGAATGAAATTCTCGTGTTATTTGTGATAAAATAAAAAACATCGCTATCCCTTTAACTCTGAGTTACTGGATAAATTTCACAAAACCTTGACTGATTACAAACGCTCCTGGACTCAAAAAGGGAAGCATTCCAGACTGAAAAATCGCTGAAACTCTACCACCGAGGACTAAATCCCAACAGCGTATCGTTTTGGAATTGTTTAAAGTCAATGATACTATACTATCGTCGAAAATGTTCTCGCCCCTGTCTCGGAGGAAACGTGGCTCAACCAACTTACAATTAAAGAGCGCAAGCATGTGGCGGGTGGCGTCCAAGAATTGCAAAAGTCCCCTGAGGACTAATTTCATTACAGAGCGCTCTCGGAGTTCGGTTCGCGACCGTAATTAAAGCAGGTTTCACGCGACTGTATGTGATAGACAAAACATATACATGGGAAGGCGAAGACAAAAATTGTGTGTTACACTCTTTCGCACTGCGGTTGGAAAGCGAACAACATTGGTTCTGAACGGCTCGAAAATGTGTTGAAAACGCTAATAACATTTATTCTACACACCACAAAGCCGTTGCAGTTAAAGACTCTTGGCATTATGAAGATTTAACGCAGCTGTCGCAAGAGATGCGTGGTTTTCTGCCAAATGGTCATATGATCATAAAAAGTATCTCGGAGCAATCGGGAATGCTCGTAACTCTATTGTCTGTTCACTACTTGTACAGTTGATGGATGGTTATTTGCATGCCTTGCAGCCATAATATACACTCTGTTCATTTGACGTAAACAATAAACAATGCCAGTTGATTGTCATACAAGAACGAGAACTTGGTGTCTAACATAACCACGTGGCGCAAGCAGAACGTATGAGTACTAACATAACCATTCAGTTTGTTACCGTAGCTTTAGTTATTAAAGGATTGTAATTAGTTCATTGCAATATATGTTCGTTGATTGTAAATAAGAAAAGGAACATCCGAAACTTACCGTGACTCGCTTTGTGACAGCTTCGGATGGTCGCTTAAATTCTTTCTTCGAATCATCGTCAATGTTGGCCCGATCACTCTGACAAAAAGGAAATAAAGCAATGATTTGAAACCAATTGAAATAAGTTTCATGAACAAAATGTATAAACAAGTGAAACGATTTCAAATGTTAGCTACCTGAGTACTGCTGAGTGATTGCTGGATTGCAAGGACTAGCGCCCTCTCTTCATCCTGGGTCTGCAAATGTGACCAGGAATTTGCACCGAAAGAACTAGAGCCGGTCACTG